ATGACATATACAGAACACAAAATAATAAATTAGAGAACCCTTTTGCAATAACCACATATCTGTTGCATTTTCAACATATACAAATCAATCATTATAATATATCATATTAACAGAAGGAAGGACCAAAACCATATTATCATTTCAATTGATGCTGAAAAAGCGTTTGATTAAATTCAACACTGCTTTGTAAGAAAAATCCTCAAAAAACTGAGTATGGAAGGAACGTACCATAAAATATTAAATACTCAGCAATTATCTCAAGAAAATTTTTGTAAACTTATTATAACATCTTGAAAATATTTTAAATGATGTACAGATAGGCTTTAACAAATGAAAGGATAATCCCTGTTCTTGGATGGGATAATTCAATATTATTAAGAGATATCTTCCCCCTAAATTAATTAATAAATATTAAACAATACCATTCAAGATATCAAAATGATTTATGAAATTGGACAAGATGATGTCATAATTAATATAGAAAAAAATATAAGTATATCCAATAAAACCTTTAAAAATAAATAAGGACAGACAAATTTTGCAAGATATCAAAATATACTCTAAAGCCTCTGTAATTAAAAACCTATGAGACCAGGCACGATGGCTCTTGCCTGTAATCCCAGCACTTTGGGAGGCCAAGGCGGGTGGATCATGAGGTCAGGAGTTCAAGACCAGTCTGACCAACATGGTGAAACCCCATCTCTACTAAATATACAAAAATTAGAGGGGCATGGTGGCGTGTGCCTGTAATCCCATCTACTCAGGAGGCTGAAGCAAGAGAATTGCTTGAACCCTGGAGGCAGAGGCTGCAGCGTGCTGAGATCATGCCACTGCACTTCAGCCTAGGCAACAGAGAGAGACTCCATCTCAAAAAAAGAAAAACAAAAACAAAACACAAAACATGTGATACCTGCTAATGAATAAAAGATATATTATTGAAATAGAAGTACAATTTAAAAAAAGAAAGAAATAGAATAGAAAAAAAAAAAAGAGAAACACAACTATGTGCATATGAAATTTAGTATGTGAATAGAGTGGTATTTTAAATCCCTGTAGCAAAGAGAGACTATTTTAGTTAATAAAAATACAAGGACAAGAGTGTATACATTTGGAAATAAAAAGAAAACATTAGATTTATACCTTATAGCCTTGACAAAACAAATTTCAACTGAATCAATGATCTAAATGTAAAACATCCAATTCTACAAGTATTAGAAGTATACCTGTCTTAATTACTTTCTAAACTTAGTATAGAGAAAGGCTTTCTAAATGTCGCTCAAAATCTGAGGCTGTTTTTAAAAATAAAAGCTGCTGATTTAATATTCATTAGATTTCTAAATATTCATGGCAAAAATATTTCATGAACAAAGTCAAAGTAAAAGACAATTGACAAACTAGGATAAAATATTCTACTGACAAAGTACTAATATCCCCATTATATTAAAAAATACTTTTTAAATTAAGAAAAAGGGATTCGGCCGGACGCGGTGGCTCACGCCTGTACTCCCAGCACTTTGGGAGGCCGAGGCGGGTGGATCACGAGGTCAAGAGATCGAGACCATCCTGGTCAACATGGTGAAACCCCGTCTCTACTAAAACTACAAAACATTAGCTGGGCATGGTGGCGCGTGCCTGTAGTCCCAGCTACTCAGGAGGCTGAGGCAGGAGAATTGCTTGAACCCAGGAGGCGGAGGTTGCGGTGAGCCGAGATCGCGCCATTGCACTCCAGCCTGGGTAATAAGAGCGAAACTCCATCTTAAAAAAAAAGAAAAGAAAAGAAAAGAAAAAGGGATTCACATACCCAATAGAAAAAGAGAGAAAAATGATAAGAAAATTCTTCCAGAAAAGCATAAAAATGACTATTAAAGCATATGAAAATGTTTCCAACTCTTACAGTTAGATAAATGCAAATTAAAATATTGATATCATATCTCATGTCAGATTGACATTTAATAAATGTATGTCATTATATTCTGCTGCCAAAACTTTGAGCAAGCAAATTCTTTCATAGAATCCTGGTGGGAATTTAAACTTATACAATCCTTCTGGAAGGAAATTTGGAAAAAGCTAACAAAACTACAGAGATTACTTTATTCTGGTCCTCCAGTTCCACTTACAAGAACCTTCTCTGGGGCTAGACTTACAATAATATGAAGTATATATGCACAATGTTCATAGCAGCACTGATTTGTAATTGCAATGGGAGTAACCTTAATGTCCATAGATAAGATAGCAATTTAATAAAATATGATTAGTTTATACATTGAAGTATTATGCAGCTGTAAAAAAATGAGAGAACTCTTTGAACTAATATTAGGGGTAATATTAAAAACAGTATTTTAGTATTAAACTTATGCTAAGGATGGCTGCTGACTGGAAGCCATCCTTGGGTCCTAGAGACTAGTGGGTATCTCCGCATATCAGTTGAGAAAAGCTGAGAGCCTGAGTCATACATGCAAATAAAGTGTAAATGAAGTCTTCCAACAACTGGAATGAGTTTGCAAGTGCATTATTCTTCAGTCAAGCCTACAGATGAGATGTAGCCTGCACCTTGATTACAGCTTTATGTAACCAGCTAAGCAGAGGAGCCCGCTAAGCAGAGAAAACTCTCCTGATCTCTCACAACTGTGAGATATAATGGGTGTTAAGTCCCTATACTCATGGTCATTTGTTTCACAGCCATACAAAACCAATACAGTGATATAAAGAAAACGTTGCATCTTTACACAGGATGCAACTGTGTAAAACAAGTGATCAAAATTTATAACACCAGTTATGAGACGTGGAAATCGTGTATACTCTAGTGTGTTGTACTGGGAAGGAAACATCATCACTTTTGTTGTAATTTTGCCAACTGAATAACTTTAATGCAATTACAAGCAAATTTCAAATAAATAGAAATTGAGAAACAGTTTACAAAATAACTCTTCAAAATCATTAAGGTTCTGGAAGACAAAAGCAGACTGAGGAAGTGCCAGAGTCTGAAGATTGAAGGATACATGACAACTAAATGCAAAGTGGTATAACAAATTGGATACTAGAAAGGAAGAGTATTAGTAGGAAAATTAGCAAAATTTGAATAAAGTCTGTGATTACTAGCATTGTTTCAGTGTTGTGATAAGTTTAAGGTATTGATAAGTGTACTATAGCCATGTCAGATTTTAACATTAGGGTATAAAGAATACTGGGAATTGTTTTTAACATTTTTACATCTTTCATGTAAAATTTTATGAAAATAAAAACTTAAAGAAAAACAAGGGAGTGTATGTAATAACCTTAATAAAAACAAGAAAATAGAATTAGTAGATGCAAACAAGGAGAATTTAAAACAGGGATGACTGATATAGAACAAAAAGGGGGGCATTATAACCATAAAAAGAACGTGTTGATATAGACAAAGAATAGATACATAGCTTTATAAATTAAAATGATTGTTACATAGTTTAAAGCCATAATATTAGATAAAATTGATAATGAATTTAATTGAAGAGGAAGTTACAGAGCAGGAAGTATAAACTAAGGTGTCAAAATGGAAAGGGGATAATGATTCTGTGTTTCAATTATTGAGAAGAGAAGATTTGGAGAGTTCCCAAAACAAAGCAATGATAAATGTCTGAGGTAATTAATATACTTATGCTGATTTGATACATTTGATATATATTACACGGATTTGATCATTATACATCGTATGCATGTATCAAAATGTTTTATGTAACCAATAAATATGTACAATGATTATCTATGAATTAAAAATAAAAAGTTATAAAAATGAAGAGACATGAAGCACATAGAAGCATCAACATTTTTCTGAGTTTGAAGCAAAAAAAAAAAAAAAAAAAACCCACTAAAAAAAGCTTGATGACATTTAGAATTCCAAAGGTAAAGAGCAAATTCTAATATCTCCAAAAGAGAGAGAAAAAAAGTTACAATTTAGAAAGAAGTTAAAATCACATTGGCATTAGACCTATTATTAGATATATTTAGAAAATTAGAAAAAATTATAGAAGACACATTATATATAATATAGAAACATTCAATGTTCTAAAGTAAAATGATTTTGGATCTATCATAGTACACATTTAAGCAAGCACTGAAATAAAGATAATTTTAGGATATTTAAAAACTATTTTTGCATCCAGAAGTTCTCTGTGTTAGGTTTAATAAAAACAAGTTATTACAAAATAGAAAATGTGTTTGGAAATATAAATAGATGAGACATAAAATCAGTAGTGGGGAAAAAAACAACAGCATTGATTTTAGTTGGCTCAATAATTTTTGGCAAAGAACCTAGAAAGTAAGGGTAATTATTTCACCATGAAAGAGTGGGCATACATAAAGCAAACATTAGAATGTTAGAAATACATTAAAATACATCATTAATCATGATAACATCCAAATAAACAGATTTAGTTGAACACACAAAAGATTTACAAAGGCAATGATTAATATCCTCATAAGAATATGAAAATATATTAATTTTCTGTTGAGAAATGTGCAGGAGAAGGAAAATTAAAATGTGATAAAGCTTTTTGTTTTTTGTTTGGGTAGATGACATAGATCCTGACTGACTCTACATATTGAGAAACTATAAACACGAATCCATATGTGTTAAAGTTCAAATTACCAGGATAATAGAAATGCTTGTGATATATTATTACATATATTCATATTTTTACTACATATAAAATTTTGCAAAGTATAGTTGATCAACCCAGCAAAGGCAGGATGATATTATAATGTCAGATACTCATTCAGCCTCACCTATTGCCAGAGTAAGCATTTGCAGACATCATCTCTGACGACTTCTTGTTTGAGTAAGACGTTTTGGTGGTCTCTTATCCATCTTGATAGCAGCAAAGTCCATGGAGATCAATCAAACTTCAGGCTACCATGATTGCCAGAGATTCAAATCAGCTTAAGATAGCACCCAGCCAGGAGGAGCTTCACTTTCTTCTAAACCTGGGATTTTCTTCCAAGCATCAGTGTCTCCTATCTTACACTTTAAACCAAAATTATAAGAACCTACAGTCTTTATAAAGAACTCTCTTCACAGCACAGCTGTAGTTCACTTTAAACAAAAAAGTTTCCTTTGTGCTATATCCTTAGAAGTAAACATAATGTACAGACAAATGAGAAGTATAGATTCTGCATCAAGCATTTTTCAATCTCTCCTTCTGATATAAACCTGGCTACAGTCAAATTTGCAAAGCATTCACTTAATATTTTAGTTGAAACAAACTTAAAAGGTAAATGAGTTTTCAGTGAAGGAGACCTTTGTGAGTTGCAGTGGTGTCCTTGGCACTCAGAGGTTCGTTCAGCTAAAGTCCCGATTGGTGAGGACAAGTGGAGCCACAAGGGTCCAGACGTAAAGCAGGAGGCAGACCCAGCTGGTGCTGATCTTGACCCATACAGCTGGCCACTTGCTGGTCATGCTCTGAAACTTTGCATCAGGGCTGTACCAGCCAGTCAGGGTCATCATGATGTATGAGGAAGCCAAGCAGAGCATGAAGTGGAAGAAGAAGTAGCTATACTGCACTCCCTCTTTCTCATTGTCCACAGCCCGCCAAGGTTGTCCATCTTCTTCATCACTGGCACCATTGGTAATTGTATCACCAAGGATCACAGTGTCACTCCCTGACAGGGTCAGCTTGTCTACTTGGCTACTACTGGATGTGCGGATGCTAGAATACACAATGCAGCAAACAAAGACAAACAGTCCAACAACATTATCTGAATCCAGTAAAGACCTGCTCTTTGATGGTGGAATAGGGTTAGGGATCACTTGCTCTGAGGCAGAGCAAGTAAGGCATAGTGGATGCATAAACTTTATTACTTATGCATGCTAATTATTCCTGTTATGAGAGATTGAACCGTTTGGAAGCTGCTGCACTCTTTCTTACTTACAAACTCAGGACCACACTTCTGTGATCTCACTTGTGGTTTTTGTGTTTAGATATCAGTTTAATTATTTTACTTCAGAATTTTTGAAATAATCAAAAACTTACATAAAAGTTGTAATTCCAGTCAAAGAACATTTTCCCTGAACTATCTTAGCATATGATAATGACCTGATTCCCCATTATCCTCAAACACTTTATTGTATATTTTTTACAAACAAGAATATCCTCCTATAGCTATGAAAATAAAAAGCTTTTTTAAAAACAAGAATATTTTTCTACAGCTTTTTATAAAGTAAAAAGAATTGGTATCATAAATTAATATTAACCCTCTAATCTTTTTGACCCACTCAAGTTTTACTAATTGTTCATTAATTTATTTAAACTAATAATTTTGTTATGATTCATGAGTACTCATTTTACTTAATAATATGTCTCTTTAGTTCTCTTCAAACTGGAACAATTCCTCAGTCTCTCCTTGTTTTTCCATGCTTTAACACTTTTGGAAATCACAGGCCAGTCATTTTTTAAGAATGTTGCTCAATTTTGGTTGCTAATTATGGATTGCCTTATGATGAAACTCAAGTTATATATTGATGTTGTTTGGCTATGTCCCCACCCAAATCTCATCTTGAATTGTCGCACTCATAATTCCCACGTGTTGTGGGAGAGATGCAGTGAGAGATAATTGAATTATGGAAGAGGGTCCCTCCATACTGTTCTCATGGTAGTGAATCAGTCTTGCGAGATCTGACTGTTTTATAACCGCTTTCACTTGACTCTCATTCTCTCTTCCTTTCTAAAGGTGGCTCAAAATCTGAGGCAGTTTTTTTAAAATAAAAACTGCTGATTTTATATTCATTAAATTTCTAAAAATGCATGGCGAAAATATTTCATGAACAAAGTCAAACAAAGTAAAAGACAGTTGACAAACTGGAATAAAATATTCTACTGACAAAGGACTAATATCCCAATTATATTAAAAAATACTTTTTAAATTGAGAAAAAGGTATTCACATACCCAATAGAAAAAGAGAGAAAAATGATAAAAATTCTTCCAGAAAAGTATAAAAATGACTATTAAAACATATAAAAATGTTTCCAACTCTTACAGTTAGATAAATGCAAATTTAAATAGAGCAAAACATAGCCACTTCCCTCTAAAAGAGCAACCAAAAGCATAGTAGCTAAATAAGAAATGAATTAGTAGAAAACTTGACACCTTTGCTAAAGGACAGAAAATACACCTTAAAGTAATTGAGAGACAAGCTATATTTTGAATAATTACCAATAGCAGCAAAGATGTTATCCTCCAGAGCTTGCTATGGAATAGAGAGAAGAGCACAGGCCGGGCATGGTGGCTCACGCTTGTAATCCCAGCACTTTAGGAGGCCAACGTGGATGGATCACAAGGTCAGGAGATGGAGACCGTCCTGGCCAACATGGTGAAACCCCATCTCTACTAAAAATGCAAGAATTAGTTGGACATGGTGGCACATGCCTGTAATCCCAGCTATTGGAGAGGCTGAGGCAGGAGAATTGCTTGAACCATGGAGGTGGAGGTTGCAGTAAGCTGAGATTAAACCACTGCACTCTAGCCTGGTGACAGAGCTAGACTCTGTCTCAAAAAGGAAAAAAAAAAAAGAAAGAAAATAGAAGAAAAGGAAAGAAAAGAAAGAAGAGTATAGAGAAATGTATAATTCCATTTATGTGCAAAAGATAAGATTTGGTATATATGAGTACTGGCATAATTGCATAGAAAAAGCACTGTAGAGGCAAACGCCAGGCTCCTAAAAGTCCTTATTTTTGCCTTAGAGAATTTTTGAGAATAATATTTGTATGTGTACAGACAGGGAGGTGGAAAAAGTATTACTAGGTATTTTTATGAATTGATGGAAATATATTACTTAGAATAAAGGGTAGGTAAAATACACGAATATGCATTTATACATAGAAATATAAATGTCAGTTAAATTTATGAATGCATATGTTTAAACATATATGCTGTATTTTTAAATTAAAGATACATAGCATTTTTTGAAGAACAAATATGTCTATTTTTTTTGTGAGAAAAAGAAATAAATATATTCAGGTAGAACCCCAGGTATCAAGGAAAATGAAAAGAAGACACTGAGCAACTAGAGATGGAATCTTGAGAAAGAAAAGTAAAAGAATCTTACCAGACACAAATAAGACTGAAATTAGTTTTACCTTAGTCCTGATATCACTGGATATGTACAGATTCTTCATGAGCCTATACAACACACATAGGACTCTTTCCCAAATTAATCAGGATCTGAAATGAATCCAAAGAAGAAATATTTACTAATACTTTCTACAAATTTAACCTATTAATGACGTGTCTTGAAGATTTGAGGTCTACAAAAGATACAGTTTAAACTTTGCGTATCAGTAATCAGCAGTTTCTAAACTTCAAACTGATAGAAGAGAAAGGAAATATGAAGATCAGAAAACTCTTACTGAATCCTGCAAATCTATGAGAATTCTGTTTTCAAAAGGACAGCATTTGCGTGGAGGTGGTGTGCATGACAGGAGGTTGATGGAAGGACCACAGCAGATGTATAAAGAATTCTCAAAACTCAACAGTAAATGAATCAATCCAATTTTTAAAATGGTAAAAGACCTGAACAGACGTTTCACTGAGGAAGATACATAGATGGCAAGTAAGCATACGAAAATATGTTGAGGTCATTATAGATCAGGGAAAAACAAATTGAAGCCAGCATTAGATATCATAACATTCAGATCAGAATGACTTTAAAAAAGTGACAGCACAAAATGTGGTAAGGATGCAGAGAACTAGATCACTCAGATATTACTGCTAGCAAGAGAAAATGGTACACCTGTCCTGGAAAACAGTTTGGCAGTTTGTTGTAAAATTGAACAAATAATTGTCGTCCAATTTAGGGATTTAACTCTTGGGCATTTATCCCAGAAAAACTAAAATTTGTGTTTACATGTAGATCTAAACCTTTCATGGGGGGCTTTATTTCTAATAGCTAAAAACTAGAAAGAGTCCACAAGGCTTTCAACAGGGGAATAATTAAACAAACTGTGGTACACCCAAACCGGGTAAGATCTTCTCTTCAGCAATGCTTACAACACCTAATGCTGGCAAGAATGTGGAGCTACAGGAGCACTCATTCATTGCAGGTGGGAATGCCACATGGTACAGTCACTTTGGAAGATGGTTTGGCAGATTTTTACAAACTAAATCTACTCTTACTCTTTGTCATTTAGTCAAAACGGTTCAATGCTCTATGCATGTGGTATACTTCTCTTGTACTTATTTTAAAATGCCTTTTTATTACAGTTACATCAGATGAATTCTTTCAAAGATTTTGTGTTTTTCAAGACAGTGAGTATAAAAAAAACACTAATATATTCTGAGCTTTTAAATACTTAATAAGGAGGTGTAGTTGACCTTCAGGAATCATATTTTGTTAATTTATGTCCACACGAAAATTTGTACATAGATGTCTGTAACAGCTTTATTTATAATTGTCAAAACTTGAAGCAATGAAAACGTCCTTCAGTAATAAATGGACAAGTAAACCGTGGAACATCTAGACAAAGGGATACTATTACCTGACAATGAAAGGGCCATCAAGTGATAAAAAGATATAGATGAACATTAAATACTATAGTGAATTAAGCCAATCCAAAAAGTCTATAGAATTTCAGCTATATGACATTCTGGAAATGGCAAAACTATGGAAATAGTACAAGAATTAGTGAAGCCAGAGGTCGAGAGGAGAAAGGGATGGCGAAAGGGATCACAGGCGTTTTAAGAAAGTGAAAGTATTCAGTATGCTGAAGACAAGTCATTACACATTTGACTAAATCCATAAATGAAACACCAAGATGAACCCTAATGAAAACTATGGATTTGGAGTGACAACAATGCATCAGTGTAAGTTCATCAATTGTAATAACTACACCACTTTGATGCAAGATGTTGATAGTGGGGAGATTGGGCATATGTGGGAGCCAGGAATATATGTGACATCTCTGTACCTTCTGCTCAATTGTGCTGTGAACACAAACTACTGTAAAATAAATACATTTTAAAAAATCACCTTGGTGTTTACAATTAGATATTGACAACATTTCAATTTCAATGTAGTATTATCTACAAATGTGTTCTGGGAGGTCAGCAAGTTCTTTAGTTTGAAAAGCAAGACATTAAAATATGTCATAATTATTTTAAGTTGAAGGAAAACAAATATTTAATGAAAATCATTTGGTAAATATGTACAACTATTTGAAGAAAAAGTAATATTTCAATGCTCTATGCGTGTGGTATACTTCTCTGGTACTTACTTTAAAACATGTTTTTGTTACAGTTACATCAGATGAATTCTTTTAAAGATTTTGCATTTTTCAAGACAGTTTAAAAAGAACATTAGTATATTCTGAGATTTTAAATACTTAATAAGGAGGTGTAGTTGACCTTCAGGAATCATATTTTGTTAATTCCACAAAATAAGGGAAGTTTGATGTTTTGCCTGGTAGCAGCACTTTAACCGTTGAGAGTGTAGGGTCCAAAGAATGTAATTTCCAAAGTAGGTTAATAATTATTTTTCACCAGCAGCTATCCCCTGGTTCACACATTCTTGCAACCCTAGTCCTTATGAAAATTAAACTGTGTCTGTTATACATGGTTTGGGGAGAAAGGAAGAAACCATCTGAAGGTGTACCCTTTGGAATACTTTTTCTGAAACTTCTTTGAATTCTGCAACTTTTCTGCAGAGTTTCAATGACGAGCATTTTGGGGAGATTACTGCACCAATGCCCATGTTTATCTTCAGACACAATTCCTATCCCCAGCTGCCACATACTGGGCATAGTTTTCCAAATTTTTAATTTTCCCCAGTTTACTTTCCATCTTTCATGTAAACTG